GAAGAAGACTTAAAACATTTACTGATGAAGATCAAAGAGCACAGCCTTCAGTATGGATTACATCTCAATGTAAAGAAAACAAAATTCCTCACCACTGGACCAATAAACAACATTCTTATCAATGGAGAAAAGATTGAAATTGTCAAGGACTTCATTCTTTTTGGATCAACTATCAACACTCGCGGAAGCAGCAGTCAAGAAATCAAACGACATATTGCATTAGGCAAATCTGCTGCACAAGACATTTTTAAAGTGTTGATAAGCAAAGATGTCAGCTTGAGGACTAAGGTGCGCCTGACCCAAGCCATGGTATTTTCAATAATCTCACATGCATGTGAAAGCTGGGCAGTGAATAAGGAAGACTGTAGAAGAATTCATGCTTTTGAGTTACGGTGTTGGAGGAGAATATTGAAAGTGCCATGGGCCACCAAAAGAACCAATAGATCCGTTCTGGAAGAAGTGCAGCCAGAGTGCTCCTTGGAAGCCAGGATGGCCAAACTTGGTTGGTCTCTCATACTTTGGACATATCAGGAGGGATCAGTCACTGAAGGCTATCATGTTTGGTAAGGTGGAGGGTCAGAGAAAAAGAGGAAGACCCCCAGCAAGATGGATTGGCCAAGTGGTAGCATTGATGGACTCAAGTATGGCAACAGTAGTGAGTTTGGCCTAGGATTGGGCAGTGTTTCTTTCTTCTGTGCATAAGGTCGCTATGAGTCGGTACCGACTCGATGGCACCTAACAACAACAACACCCCACAAATATCTCTTAGGGCTGGTTTTTGACCACGGTACTGCCATTAGCTTGTCTCTTCAGAATAGATCAGTGTGGAGGTTTCTGACGGACAGCTCAGCAGTGCTGCTCTGGTATACACCACTAACCATATAGGCTCATGCTCCCTCTGGAAAGCCCAACTTTCTTATTTCAAGCAAGATGTTCTAATTGGATACCAATGATCAGACTCTTACCCATTTTCTCGTCTTAGTTTGATGATTTTTGTAACATCAGTCTCTGAACCACCTGAATTTAAAAGTTTGGTAGAGTCTACTTCTCTGGGCTTAACAGGTAATAGACTTTTAGAAGTAGTCCGGGAATGTCTGTCTGTAAAGGAAAACAAGAGCATGAAACCTCAAACAGTGTGACTCAACAGTTGTAATCCTGTAACATTTTAAGTTTTCATAAAACATTCTGGTCAATCTCAATTTTGAAGATAGTTCAGAAAAGTGAGACTTCTAGACTAATTGTGGATTGTTGTTGTTGTTAAGTGCCATCAAGTTAATTCCAACTCATAACAACCCTAGATAGGGTTTCCGAAGAGCAGCTGGTGAGCTTGAAGCGCTGACCTTGAGATTCAAACCAACCTTGCAGTCCAGTTCATTAACCCATAGCACCACATCAGGATAGAAGCCCAAATTCTTGAAATTTGACAATGCAATGGGTTTGATGGTAGTCAAAAGTTTGATAAGACACCAGATTGAATGGCTGGAGGATATAGACGTGAATGTGGATGTTGTTGTTGTTATGTGCCATGGAGTCAGTTCCGATTCATAGTGACCCTATACAGGGTTTCCAAGGCTGTAAATCTTTATGGGAGCAGAAAGCCTCATCTTTCTCCTGTGGAACAGCTGGTAGTTTCAAACTGCTGACCTTGCAGTTCACAGCCCGATTGGTAACCACTACGCTACCAGAGCTCCTTGTGGATGTTGATAAAAGCAAAGAATAAAGTAAAAGGCAGTGTGGAAGTCAGCAGGGCAAAGCAGCTGAATCCTCCTCCTTCATCAAGCACCACTGGTATGGCAGCATCTTATTAAGCTCCCAAGTACTCTGCACACCTCCTGACTCAATACTCGAGCTGCTTAGTTTTCTTTTCATTGTTGCTTTAGGAGTCCCAGAGTGACAAAAACAGTTAATACAATTGGCTGCTAACTGAAAGGTTAGCAGTTCAAGCCCATCCAGAGATACCTTGTAAAAAAGACTGGTGATATACTTTCAAAAAAATCATTGAAAACCCTATGGAGCATAGTTGTACTCGACACACACCCTGAGCTGGAATCAACTAGACAGCAATTGGTTGGTCAGTGGCTGTTGTTACCAAATTGTCTCCATAAGATAAGCACTGGACTGCAAACCACGAGGTCAGCAGTTCAAGACCACCAGCCACTCCTTGGGAAAAAGATGAGGCTTTCTGCTCTCACAAAAAATTTTAAAACCTCAGAAACTTTATACAGGGTCGGTATGAATTGGAACTGACTTGATGTCACTTAACAACAAGGTACTCTAAGAGAATCTTTATGTCTCCAGCCACTAGTAGAGTATCTGGCATATTAAAAGATATTCCCTAACCATTTGTTGAATAAATATAGCACTTCAGTTTCTTGAGTTGTTTCTCCTTCATCTCTACACTGAAAGTATTTCCTCTCCTCTTCTGTCATCCTTCAATTTTGATTGGCTCTACCACCAGCCCTTTTAATCTGTTCATCCTCTATTAAGTTAAAAACAAAACAAAATTCACAACAACAAACAGTTGCTGCCAGTCAGCCTCAACTCATGGCTACCCTAGTATGCCAAAGTAGAACTGTGTTCCATAAGGTTTTCAATAGCTGGTTTTCCTTAAGTAGATGATAGGTCGTTTTTCCAAGGTACCTCTGGGTAGACTCAAACCTCTAATCTTTCTGCCTGCAGCAGAGTGCATTACTGTTTATATCATTCAGAGACTCCCCATTAAGTTCTGTTGTTGTATACCATCAGGACAATTCCAGCTAATAACAGATCCTATAAGACAGAGTAGAACTGACCCCCTTGGGATTTCCTAGGCTGAAATCCTTACTGAGCAGATTGCCAGATCTTTTCTCTCACAGTGGCCGTAAGTACAAGCTGCCTACCTTTCTTTTCTGGTTAGCAGCCAGGCATCTAACCATTGTGCCATCAAAGCTTCGTAAGTTTAGAAAATCCCTATTTGGTGTTTTCTTCTGATGTTCTTGCTAGGCCACTGGCAGATAACAAAGAAATGACCTTGCCATGCCACTCTTGTCTCCCAAAGGAGAACATCTTCACCAGTCCTTATGCTAGCCCTCCGTCACAAACGGTCTCCCTTTTATTGTTGCCAGTAAATTCAAGGAACTTTTCCTGGAGTTAAGCAAAACTTGTCCCACTACCTCTACATAGAAGGGCTTTTCTCGCTTGTACTAATTTTCACTTTGTTCACTGTAAAATGACTTGATTTAAGGTAAGAGCCATAACAACTAAATCACGTGAGTTGAAGAAATGAGGTATTCACTGAAACACAGGGACTAGAATATTGTATTTGATGATGATTCTATTTTGCAAACTCTAGCTGCATAATTTAGAATGAATTATGATTTCTCAGGTGAAAAGATTTTTTCTTTTATAGGTACACACATTGGATACCTTCATGATTTTAGACACCCTTTGCCACAAAGCAATTATTAAAAGTGTTCTCTTTTTGAAGTCTCTGTCTCTGAAATAAAAAGTAACCTTGGGGGATTATGTTTTATCTTCTCCTATCTTAAGTATAAATAAGCTTACCATCCACTCCTTTGGAAATCCTATATAGAGTCGCTGTGAGTTGGAACTGACTTGACATCATTTAACAACAACAATAAAGGAGCCCTGGTAACATAGTGGGTTATGAGTTTGGCTGCTAGCCACGTCAGCAGTTCGAATTTACCAGTCGCTCCTTGCGCAAAAGATGAGGTTTTATTGCTCCCATAAAGCTCTGTTATCATAATGGTTACGAATCGGGCTGCTAATCTCATGGTCAGCAGTTTGAAATTACCAGTTGTTCTGCGGGAGAAAGATGAGGCTTTCTGTTGCCGTAAAGATTTACAGCCTTGGAAAACCTATACAGAGTCGCTATGAGTCAGAACCTACTCCACGGCACATAACAACAACAAATAAGGATTTATAACCTTGGAAACCCTGTACAGGGTCACTATGAGTCAGAACACCACCACCATCCAATAGTAAATCAAACCCGTGTTAAAAAGGAGTTGACAGTAAATATATAAAAACAATAAATTGACCATTGACTAGAATTGGTTCCAATAATCCATGCTTTTAGATCCTATGGATTGCATTTTAGGAGACATTTTATAGGATTTAACAAAACTCCCTTAAAATGGAAAACAATGAGAGGGATGAGATAGCTGGTACCAGGGAATGAACAACTAAATTCGTCCTTTTATCTATGTTTTTTTAAAATAGCCCAACAAATTAAAGTGTTGTCTTTCTAAAGTAGCCAGGCAAATTGGGGTTACCCAGACCCTAGATCTGGTGAAGTGATTTCAGGAATGAAGGGGGCTTGATGTAGTCAATCATGCATATTCACTGAGGTCCAATGACTAGAGGACGCTGAACTTTGAAGCTCTCTTTTGTGGGTTTCCAGGATTGGTAAGAACATCATGCATGGGGAAAATGGAAGCCTCCCGCGAGGCACTTCTCAAGTTTGCCTGATGTGTCTCTATACTTATATCCATTCTGGAAGTACACCTGTTCCAGATTACTAAGGAACCCACTGGGGGTTAGTGAGAGCCAGTAGCAAGGCTGGCATTTGCCATGTGGCAGGGGTTGGAAGGGCAGAACCCTAACTTGTAGAGACCCCACTCTGAGTGGTTACATGAGAGAAAGTGCTACATGGGTGGCTGCTGTTAGAATGACTAAGTGGGGAAGCAGGAATATGAGTTACCTTCACATTCTGGAATTTAACCTTATGTTGGCTGTTATTCACTTTATACTGTTTACTACCAATTTTTTTGCATATGCATATATAGCTACTTTTTTGTTACATGCCAGAGTGGGTTCCAACTTATAGCGACCCTATGGATTGCATTTTATGAGACCCCAAAGAGTAACTGGTGGGTTTGAACTGCTGACCTTTTGATTGGTGATGGTGTGCGGTGGAATTGGATCCAACTCATAGCGACCTTGTATAGGGTTTCTGAGGCTATAAATCTTTACGGGAGCAGAAAGCCTCATTTTTCTCCTGAGGAACCACTTGGTAGTTTCAAACTAGCTGACTTTGAGGTTAGAGTCTGACTAGTAACCACTATGCTACCAGAGCTCCTTGACCTTTTGATTAGCAGTCTAATTATCCTACAGCACCACATTAACTACTCAAAAAATTAAAACTTAAACTGCTAACCCATACCCAGTATTGGAAGAAAAAAAAAACTGGGACACAGTCTACAAATTTTAAACTATTAAGGCTATCTATATACGAACATAAAGTAGGGACAAAGTTAGAAAGTAAAGACATGAAAACTTGGGAGAAAGCCTGGTTACCTCACAGTTCAATCCTACTACTACTTATCAACTTAGTCAACTGGGAGAGGATCATCAATAGCTACCTCATAATCTTCCAGTTTTAGTGTCTGAAACTTATTCTGTGTTATAAGCTTCTGACTAGACATCTGACAACTGTAGATCCTATGCAATGACTTTCTACCACAAGCAAAATCGCAAAGCAATCAGAAATAGTTTTTAATCGTGTCTCTCTTTTTCAATCAAGTATTCTCAAATATTCTGGCTAGGTTGACCTCTCCAATTTCACTTTAAACACTTATTTAACAGGAGTCCGGGTGTGGCGCTGTGAGCTAATGCGTCAGACTGCAAAGTCCTATTAACAGCAAGATCAGTGGTTCAAGCTCACCAGCTGCTCCTTGGAAACCCTATACAGGGTCACAGGGTCCCTATGGGTCGGAATCGATCCACGGCACTTCAAAACAACAAATATTTGAGACACTGAAGGTATAAGTGTGAAAAACAAGACCTGGTGCAAACAATTTAGTGCCTCTTCCCTAAGTATTCCACTTTCAAAATGTCCATGACAGTCCAGGCCCTGAAGATAGCCCTAGGGAAGCACTGGCTTAACTTAATTGAGAACCACCCGCAGTTGAATCTAATTAGTGGAATGAATGTAACAGAGTGAGGTTTTGGAAGGCAGCAGTCCCAACACTTGACCTTGACCCTAACTCCCACCATAAACCTAGAAAGCCTTGTTTGAAGGTCAGCTTGTTAGAGTCAAAGGAATGCCCTCTCCCAGGCCCGGGCCTCCCATTTCCGGGCATTGAGCTGATCCCACCCATCCCCACATTCCCCTGGCACACACAGGCAGGTCTGCAGCGTCGGGAGCTGGGGCACGAGGTTGGATACCCACCTGAAGGCAAGCTGCCGTTCTGCATAGATGGGGGTGGCAGAGTGTACACTGTCTTAACCACGCTAGTCATCGTAACAAGGCGGCACGGCTGGACCCTGGAAGATGCAAGGGTAATGTTGTTATTTGTCCAGCCCTGGGACATCGCCCGCGGCCATGGCCTTCCATCCCAGCAGGGACCGCCAACAGGACAGCACTATCCGGCAGCTAGCTAGACAACGGGACATGTGGAGAGGTTGGGGAGGGCGCGACCTGGCCAGCCCCAGCTCAAGAGAGAGGTCGGGAAAGCGAAGACTTTTCTAAGGTGATCTTCACACTTGATCCTAACCAAAAGACCAAGAAGCGATCTGAAGTGATCTTTGGTTCAGGAAGGGTGAGTGGGAGTTAATCAGCCCATTTGGTTCATCCCCCTACATCCAGCCCAGTCCCTTATCCCGGGAGATCCGAACCCAAGTGCCTGCTTCTCCCGCCAGCAGTCGTCCTCGATTCCGCTCAAAACACACGCCGAAGCAACTGCCGCACCGCGAATTGCGTCAACCGCCTCTGTTTCAAACGGAAACTTCCGGTAGCTGGGAGGGAGAGAGTGTGATTCCCGTTCCGTAGGCAGCCATGTTGTACGGAAAATACTGTTCGGAGCTATGGCTTCAGGAGCTGCCATGCTGTACGGTAGATTCGAGTTGAGGCGAGTCCCGGTATTTCCCAGGCACCGGTGTTCAGCCCTCCGACCCCCCACCCCACCCCCCGCAGGTCTCAGCGGGGTGCACTTTACAGGATTGAGTGGAGCTATTGGGTTACCCGCGTCATATTTTGGCTTTGGGACGCAAACGTGGTCCATGTTGTCACAATACTTCTCATTATTTGGTTTGTGAGTATTAGGGATATTGCATGATGTCTGATAGCGCTAACCACAGGTTACTTGGATTGGTAAAAAGCTACACGTTATATAGTGGAGAATGGCAGGTGAGGCTTGAGAAAAACCTATATGTGAAATACCTGAGTCACCTACCCGCAGTCCTAACTTTAATAGCATTTATCCAGATTTTAGGCAGAGATTCAAGGCTTATTCTAATAAACAGAACAGAGTTCTCAGACACTTAATGCATTCACTCATTCATGTTACTCAATAGATATTTATTGAGCACCTGCTATATGCTACTTAGCACACCCACTATCCTAAGTGGACATATTGTTAGGAGGGACCAGTCGCTGGAGAAAGATACCATGTTTGGTAAGGTGGAGGGTCATAGAAAAAGAGGAAGACCCCCAACGAGATGGATTGACCAAGTGGCAGCATCGATGGACTCAAGCGTGGCAACAGTAGTGAGGATGGCCCAGGATCGGGCAGTGTTTCATTCTGCTGTGCATAAGGTCGCTATGAGTTGGTACCGACTCGATGGCACCTAACAACAACAACAACTCCATGGAAGGAGTCCTGGTGTGGCGCTGTGGGTTAATGCTCCAGACTGCAAAGCTGTTTGAACTGCAAGGTCGGTGGTTCAAGCTCACCAGTCACTCCTAGGAAACCCTATACAGGGTCGCTATGGGTCAGAACCGACTCAACGACACTTAACAACGACAACACTCGATAGAAAATGGATTGAAACACAGCAAGAGTGGAACCAAGGATACAAGTGGGATAGTATTGTAACAAAATCATGTGAGAGATGATGGCGGCTTGGCCATGATGATGGTAGTAGTGGCCATGGAAAGAGCATGCCTATTTAAGATACCTTTTTGAAGTAGAATTTCAAGACTCGGTGATAGATTAAATATGAAATAGAACTGGAGGGCAGGGGAGGAGGTGAAGGAGAGGACGATATTAAGGATGACTCCCGAGTTTGGATTATTGTATGGTTATTGTAACACTACTTCAATGGAATGATAAGAGCAGGAGCCAACAAAGTGTTTTGGGCGTGGGATGGGGGCAGGGAAAGGAAGATTGAGAGTTCAGTTTTGACCATGGTTAAGTTTGAAATACTTTTGAAATTTAATGGAGCTGCCAAATAGGCTGTTAGAAATACACCTTGCGTCTAGAAGAGCTGAAGTTAGAGGTATATTCTTGGGTGTCATTGGTGCATATATTTATTTAAAGCCATGATATTTGATGAGATCATAACTGAAGAAGTGCAGAGGGAGTCTTAGGGTCAAAGACAAGCATTTAGAATTGTAAATTGTGATGATAAGGAGGTGCCTGCCAAGAAACCTGAGAAAAAGGTGCCAAAGAGGTGGGAAAAAAAACTAAGGAAGGTGCTGTCCCAGAAATCAAGAAGGAAAAAATGGTGGTAAACTGCTGAAAGCAGTTGAAAGGACGAGCAAGAACTACAAAACATCCATTTCATGTTGTTGTTGTTGCTGTTAAGTGCCATCCAGTTGACTCATAGTGACCTGTGTAGGATTTCTGAGGAGCGGCTGGTGAGCTTGAACCACCAACCTTGTTGTTCAAACCAACCTTGCAGTCCAGTGCAATAATCCACAGTACCACACTAGGATTCCTCCATTTAATGTAGCAACATAGAAGTCACTGGTAAGTATCAGGAGGAATTCTGGAGGAGTGCTTGGAGTGAAAGTTACAATTAAATGGACACTTAGAGGGAGTGGAACATGATGGAGTCTCCATAGGAAGTTGTATATATACTTTAAATTATTTTTCAAAGCATGATGCTGTAGGTTAAGATCATTCTATTTTGGAAAATATCCACTCTATATTCTATTTACGGAGTCTTGGTGTGGTACTATAGGATAAGCACTGGATTGCTAACCACAAGGTCAGCAGTTCAAACCCACAAGCTGCTCATTGGAAACCTTCTACAGGGTTGCTATGAGCTGGAACCAACTCGACAACACACAACAACAACAAAAACAACATATCCTATTTGTAAATCCTGTTCTCTCCCACCAGCCAAATCAGATTGACTTTCTATCAGAAAATGTCTGATTTCATTTTACAATTCAAATTAATATGGTTAATATGTTTCTTGCCTCAACTAATTTTGAATTTAAGTTCTTAGATGGAAAAGGCCCAGAACTGAGCCACAAGGTTGTCCCCTTTGAAACTTCTCATATATACTGTCTGGACTTTGCTCTCTTGAGGCCTTCTTCAAGCAGAGCATTCCCAAGTAATCCTTTTATTTGATTTTTGTACTCCAGAGCAAAGTTCTAGAGTAGGATTAAGAAATGAGGGAGAGGCCTTAAATAGAAAGTAGAGGTTGAGACAGAGAACTGGCAGACCTAAGATTCCTTCTTAAAACCAAGCCAAACCACTACCATTGACTCGATTTCAACTCACAGAGACCCTGTAGGCCAGAGTAGAAATGGACTCATAGAGTTTCCAAGGCCGTGAATATTTATGAAAGCAGACTGCCACATTTTTCTGTCACAGAGCAGCTGGTATACAAACTACCGATCTTTCGATGAACAGTTGAGTGCTTAACCACTGCACCACCAGGGCTCCATATATTCCTTGTTTTGTTGTTGTTGTTAAATGCCATCGAGTTGGTTCCGACCCACAGCGACCCTGTATAGGGTTTCCAAGGAGCGGCTGGTAGTTCAGATGGCTTTGCAGTCTGACGCATTAACCCACAGCACCACACCAGGTAGATCAACATGAAGAGAAAGAACATACAAAGAATGAGACTCTGGAAATTGATTCCCTTGAAGTTATTTGGGTCCAGAAAGTCTTCATGTCCAGGTAAGGAAATGTAAGTTCTAGTTGAAAGCTTCTGATGCAGAGTGTGAGATGCTGTCATGGATTGAATTGTGTTCCCCACAAAACATGTGTTAGCATCCTAGTCCCCTTATGTGTGGATAATCACATTTGGAAATAGAGTTTTCTCTGTTATGTTAATGAAATCCTATCAATGTAGGTTCTAAGCTATGAGGAGCAGCAGAAACACAGAAACAAGCAAGTACAAATGGGGAAAGAGAGGTATCACGCTACTGAAGACCACCAAGGAACCCAGGAATGCTGAAAACAGAGAGTCTTCCCCTAGAGCTGCTGTTCTGAATTCAGACTTCTGGTTTTCTTTCTTTTTATTATACTTTGTTTGTTTTTGTAGTGTGTTCCTGAATCCTTCTATTCCCACCCCCCCCTGTTTTCCTTGCTTTCTTTGATCTTTCATAAGTTTGTTGTTGTTGTTGTTAGGTGCCATCAAGTCGGTACCGACTCATAGCGACCTCATACACAGCAGAAATAAACACTGCCTGAACCTGGGCCAACCTCACAATCATTGCCACGCTTGAGCCCACTGATGCTTCCACTTTGCCAATCCATCTCGCTAGGGGTCTTCCTCTTTTTCTCTGACCCTCCACCTTACCAAACATGATATCCTTCTCCAGAGACTGGTCCTCCCGACAATATGTCCAAAGTATGAGAAATGAAGTTTGGCCATCCTGGCCTCTAAGGAGCACTCTGGATGTACTTCTTCCAACACAAATCTGTTTGTTCTTTTGGTAGCCCATGGTACTTTCAATATTCTCCTCCAACACCATAACTCAAAAGCATAAATTCTTCTATGGTCTTCCTTATTCACTGTCCAGCTTTCACATGCATATGAGGTTATTGAAAATACCATGGCTTGGGTCAGGTGCACCTTAGTCTTTAAGCTGACATCTTTGCTCTTCAACACTTTAAAAACGTCTTGTGCAGAAGATTTGCCTAATGCAATATGTCATTTGATTTCTTGACTGCTACTTCCGTGAGTGTTGACAGTTGATCCAAGAAGAATGAAGTCCTTGACAACTTCAATCTTTTCTCCATTGATAAGAATGTTGTTTATTGGTCCAGTGGTGAGGATTTTTGTTTTCTTTACATTGAGATGCAATCCATACCTAAGACTGTGCTCTTTGATCTTCATCAGTAAATATTTTAAGTCTTCTTCACTTTTAGCAAGCAAGGTTGTATCATTTGCATATCGCAGGTTGTTAATTGTTCAAAGTTTAGATACCTAAACATCATTCTTTTGAATTCCTTTTCAGTTAGTTCTATTAACTTTTCTTCCTAAGAAATGTTTTTTGGATCTGCATATTCCTTTGTGCCATTCTCTCCTGTTTCTTTGTGTGAGCTAAAAGTTGCTGTCTTTGGGATATTATGGTGGTGTCAAATTGTATTTAATCGATGATTGTATGTTGATGTGTTCTTAGGCTCTTACCAAATGTCTCCTGTGGGCGAAGAATGCAAGCGTGTGCACCATTGTCTTTTTGCACCTCAGTTTAGGGTGAGGTTGGCTGATGTTGGCTGCTGTCTATCATTGATCAGGTGGCATAGGAGCTGGTATTGGCTATTGCTCAGAGGGTGTAGCTGCAGAGAGTATGGCTGTGACTGAACTTTTTGGACACTGTTGCTGTCTCCAGTTGGGTGGGAGTCCCTCCTATCTCCCCAAAACGCCATGTGCCCCACACACCAGGAAGCAAAACAGAATAAACAAGCAAACAACTGACAATGAAAAGAGAAAATAATAGAGGAGAAAAAAGAATGAGACAGGCAGAATATAATAACTAAAAAGAGGAAAATGGAGCTAAAGAAGAGAAAATAAAAGGAAGAAATAAAAATAAAAATAACCCTTAAAAAAAACAGGGAGAGGGAAGAGAAAAGAGAAAGAGATTAATAAAGGAAGATCAAAAGGGGAGGGGGGGAAGAGGAGAAATGAGACACAGAAGAGA